ACTTATATACTCACAAGATGCTTCAGTACCAACAAAAATATCCAAGTATTCCAAATAATGATCGAGATTTTATTGATACCCAAAATATTTAGTGGCACGGGCAACAGTGTAATGCCTAAGTTCCCAGAAATACAAAAAAAAGGAGAAGACAAACTACATTGTCAACCTAACTTCCTGACGTTGATATCGGCGGTCACCCTCATCGTCAAATCATTGTGTCATCTAGTCAAGATGCGAATATTCAAAGATAATCCTCATATTATCTGTTTATTTAGTTGTGTGTTGTGGTCTCTGTTATCTGCAGTAAGTATTCAATCCAGAAAATTCATTCCATATTCTGATTGAAATGACATTCAGAAATATTCTTGCACTTCTCTATCAGAAATAGAGAATTGACACGTAAGTCGAATCTTATATGATATTCTCGGATGATTACGTCCCACGTTTTCCCGCTTCCTTCATGTCATAATTATTTAAAACAGTTACAGAGCTCTGAGGAAAAAATGATTGTTTTATATCTATTTATCAAATCAAAAATAAGTAATTGTTTTAAAAAATTGTTCTTATCTATCATTCGGAGGATTTCAACCAAGATTTCAACGACCTTCGCTTGTTTTCATTATCCACGGAATCTCCCATCAGTGGAGAAGCATATATGCTATTTTAGCAACAAGTGAGGTCTAATCGGGCCTAATTCCTTTCTTTGGTTTATTTTTTTTTTATTGCAATTCTTAAATTTTTTATAATTTAAAAATGAAGAGTTTCACTTCCTACGATTATCTTATCAAAATAACAGCCAATTATTGAGATTTTTTATGACCACAGAGAACTCCTACTAAATCAATAATATATATTCATTAATGAACTTATTGTGCCTAACCATCGACATAGGAATGCGGTGTGGCTCCTTCACCATTATTACAAATTATTTCATTGACCATTCGCCATTTTTTTAATTATTGAAATCGTACACTGTGGTAGACAGCAATAGCTCTGGCTCTATATTTACAAAACTTTCATGGAAAACAGTCACTTCTTATAAAGATATAGAAGAAACTGGCTTGCTTGTTTCTTCTACAAACGTCAAAAAATTACAAGGTTCGTGCATTTTCTACGTTACCATGATACCTTGCACAAAACAATGCGCGAAGTAAAACAGTGCGCGAAGTACCTACTTCGCGCATTGTTATGTAAAATATATGAGATATTTTCATCTCAACTTTATGGTCCTCAATCTAGCAAACATCCACAAAATCATTTATTTCTGAATGTTCAACAATAACTTTGTTTTACTTCTTGGAGCGCACGAAAGGAAATTCCTATTATGTTCGTGGAACATCGTGCGTACCTAGGGATGATAGGGGGAAGCCTTTTAAGCCAGTTCAACACTATTTTTCACATCAAGCTGAGCATATTTCTACTTTAGAACTATATTTTTTGACGTTTGTAGAAAAAATTTTGTTTGCATCTCGAGCGTGAAATACTTTGGTCATCTCGACTATTTTCTCGACTCGGCTACGTCTCGGTAAAAAAATCAGATCTCGATCACCAAAGTAGCATTTTGCGCTACAAAAATAATAACTATTTTGCACAGAAGTTAGTGACAAAAAAAAAACCTCCGAAAAATGTGAAACCTCTCGGAACGAAAAATGTGGTTTCAAAGTGAAACTCCAGGAACGTAAGTTGTAATTTCATAATGAAACCACTAGCAATTAAAGGTACGGTTTCATAGTGAAACCATCACTAGGTACGAAAGGAACAAATGGTATTGCTCCACAAATAGAAACGAGAGGTATTGTTCAACGATGGGTGAAACCTCAAGGTTCGACGAATGTGGAATCACAGTGGAACCCTCAGAAAATAATGGTGTCTTACAGTGAAACCACTAGGATATCACACTAATACTTCCAGGAACAAATGGTGTTCTTCCACAAAAGAACTATCGATATAAACGAGATATATTGTTCAACAGTGAATACTCTAGTCTAGGCATTGTCGTCCTAGATGACAACCTAGTTAGGCAGTTATTAGGCAAGAGCTATCTCCTGGCGTACTAGGTCGCCTACTAGGTTTTCATTTAGAATCTAAATTTCAGATCGACAATGCTCTAGGTATGACAAATGTTGAATCACAGTGAAATCTCTAGGAAAGAATAGTGTGGTATCACAGTGAAAACACTAGGAATGAAAGGTGTGGTTGTGGTTTCACAGTGAAACCTCCATAAACGAAACGTGTATAGTATTAGCTTGTATTAGTGAAACTTATAGAAACGAATGGTGTTGTTCCCCAATGGAACCATCGATAGCAACGAAAAGTATTGTTCAACAATGAAAACTCTAGGTACGAAATATATGGAATCACAGTGAAACATCCAGGAAATATGGTGTGGTTTCACATTGAAACCACTAGGAGCGAAAGGTGTGATATCACAGAGAAACCTTCAGAATTGGAAGATGTTATGTTAATAAAGTGGAACTTCCAGGAACCAATGGTATATTGTTCCACAGAGGAACCATCGATATAAACTAACTAAAGAAATTGTTCAACAGTGAAATCTCTAGGTCCTAGGTACAAAAGGTATGGATGCACAGTAAAACTTCTAGGAAATAATGGTGCGGTATCACTGTAAAACCGCTATAGGAACGGAAGGTTTCATATCACAGTAGAACCTCCAGGAAAGAAAGATGTGCATGGGAATACAGTGAAAATTAGAGGAATGAATGAAGTGAAAGTTCTGGAATCACAATGAAACCTTCAGAAGGGAATGGTGAGGAGTCAAAGTAAAACCACTATAGGAACAAAAGGTGTGGTTTCACAGTGATACCCGAGGTGATACCTCAAGGAATGAAACTTGCGGTATTACAGTGGAACTCACTGGAAAGAATGGTGTTGTTATTCTACAGAGGAACCATCGATGTAAAAGAAAGATATTGTTCAACAGTGAAACCTCCAGATACGACCATGTTCCTTTCCAGTATTGAAAAATTTTTCGTTATAATATTATGAAGGAAAGTCAATAGTTATTCGTTTTACACTAGGCAGCATAGTAGTAGATTGACTGTCGTGGTTGATAGTTCATAGCCGAGTGTAGCGAGGCTAGGAATAGGCGATAGGACTATATTTTTTTTAAATTTCTTAAATAGAATCATCACTCAAATACCTTTCAATTCAATAATTTTTAAGAACTAACTAAGAACTAGTTAGAAGTAGGGGCAGCACAGTTGCCATACGTCGAAATACGATTGGGAACTTCAGGAATATTAGTTATTCAATATTGTCTCAAAATGTTCCCTTATGATTTGTGGCTTATTGCGTATAATAAATTCTTTGTGTGATATGTGGAATTCTGGTGTACAAACAACTGAAATCCTTGAAATTCCTTGGATTTCCATGGAATTGCTTGAATTTCCTTGAAATTCTCTGAAATTATTTGGGTGTGGTATATTCCTGGTCCTCAAACAACTGGAATTCCTTGGAACTCCTTCGATTTATTTGGATTTACTTGGAATTAATTTAAAGAAGTGCGGTATAATTCTGGTGTACAAACAACTAGAGATCCTTGGATTTCTTTGAATTTTCTTGAAATTCCTTGGATCTCCTTGGAATTCCTTGAATTTTCTTGGATTTTTTCAGAATTCATTGGGAATCCTTGAATTTCCTTGGAAATCCTTGGATTTCCTTTCAATTCCTTGGATTTATTTGGAATTTCCTAGAATTCCTTGGCATTTCTTGGAATTCCTTGTGTGAAGTGCGGTATATTTGAACAAACAACTGGAATTCCTTGAAATGTACACAATTATTTCGACCGCGGTTTACCCCTCGGTATTTTCAAAGGTGTGAAATCACAGTGATACCACTAGAAACGAGAAGCGTGGCTCGTCATAACAACGGCTTAATACAAAAGTTGTGCCCCATCAACAGATCAACTCATTATCCCGGCTCATGCCATGGATTTCCTTGGAATTTCTTCGATTTCTTCGGATATCCTTGGAATTCTTTGGGTGACGTGCAGTATAATTCTGGTGTACAAACAACTGGAGTTCCTTGTAATTTCTTGGAATTCCTTGGAATTTCTTGGATTTCCTTAAAATTCCTTAGATTTCCTTGAAACTCCTTGGATTTTCTTTAAATTCCTTGGAATTCATCGGAATTCCTTGGACCTTCTTGGGATTCCTAGGATGTCCTTGTAATTCCTTGGATTTCTTTGGAGTTTTTTGAAATCCCTTGCGTGAAGTGCGGTATAATTCTGTTGTATTAACAACTGGAATTTCTTGAAATTCCTCTAAATTCCTTGAAATTCCTCTAAATTCCTTGAAATTCCTCTAAATTCCTTGGAATTCCTTGGAAGACTTTTGAGGGTTGCTCGTAAGGGGGCAATCGAATGATGGACAAGAACAACTTAAGAACAATAATATGCACAAGGAAAAGATGCGAAGCGCTCTTCAAAATAAAAATAAAAGTACGCCCAATCAACGGATCTATCTACTCACCGTCCCGGCTTATGCCCAGCCGGTGTGATTGTTTAATTTATGGAATATGGAAAAATCGCGGAAAAAACATACTTTCAGTTGATTTAAATAAATAAAATGTGTCATTGAAGTACAACGAGAGTAAATAAAGTCTCCAGTGATCAAAAAAGAATGGCAACTAGTTGCAAATGCGATCTAACATAAGTGGTAAAATTAGGTGAGATTTCGAACTTTTTCGTGGAATATCTCGATAAATAGTGCATTGTTCACATTTTCATTGTAAAATTCTTGTTTTTCAGACAAAAATACGTAAGTAGCAAAAAAATTTAGAAAAAACCCAAAATTACCATTATTATAGCATAGATCTAGATAGTTTATGCAAAGTCAGTTGAACAGATCACGAATGTCGGGCCGCGCTGCCGCACTCTTTGAACTTTCAAAGGGACCGACGGCTTGCAATGATGTGTTTTTCCAACTTTCTACCAAAGATTGAAATAAAAGTACGCCCAATCAACTGATCAATCAACTCACCATCCCGGCTCATGCCCAGCCTGAGGCATTTCTGCAGGCGGCAGTACTGGCACCGGTTCCTGTTCACCCTGTCGACGACGCAGTTCTTGTTGCGCGGGCACTGATAGTTCACCACCGAGGACTGCGACCGCCTGAAGAAGCCCTTGCAGCCCTCGCACGTGATCACGCCGTAGTGGACGCCGCTGCTCTTGTCGCCGCACACCTTGCACGGGATTATCTCGATTTGGGCTGCAACAAGAAAAGGAAAATTACATAATCATTCATAATTCAACCTATTAATACACACAAGCATACAGTGAACTTTGTGTCGAAGTTTTTCGTATGGGAAACCGTGATAACTTCCTTCCGATGGATAAGGCTCCATAGGGAAAATACAGTGTGTCCCACTTACCATGCTCACCATGGGTATCTTTTTAACGGTGAGAGATACGAGGTCGGTTAAATGACACCAAATGTGGAGTTTGTCAAGGCCAACTATAATGTGAAAAAATATTTTGATAAAATCTATTCGTTTTTGTTTTATACGCAAAAAACAGATTTTGATCATTTTCATGTCTCCTCCGCAACTTCTTTATTTATGAAAATATTCAAATAGGAATTTCACATTCTCATAGCAGTTTTTTAAAGCGATTTCGAAAAATATATGAAATTTATACCAACTCTTCTAGAATTTGAGATATCAGCACCAACTTCAGTTTTTCAAATGTAGGTCATAGCTCACTATGACTTAGTTACAAATAACTTTTTTTTCTCTCACAGATGATATGTCGCAGTAATAGTTTTGTGTTGATAACAACAAAGTTATCATCATTTATACAGAAACAAAAAAATATCTGGAAGCCGCCATCTTGAATTTATAAATTTAAACAAAAAAATCATAATCTCCGACCTCAAAAACCCCCACTTACCAATTCTGAATGGAATCGGACCAAATCTTGTCCGCCATCTTGGAGCAGCCATTTTTTTAAATTTCAACAAAAATTCCATAATGTATTGTCACCGAAATTTTGAACACCTGCCAAATTTCAAGTTAATCGGAGTTATGGAATTTTTGTTGAAATTAAACAAAATGGCTGCTCCAAGATGGCGGACAAGATTTGGTCCGATTCCATTCAAAATTGGTGAGTGGGGGTTTTTGAGGTCGGAGATCATGATTTTTTTGTTAAAATTTATAATTTCAAGATAGCGGCTTCCAAATAATTTTTTATTTTATCAACACAAAACTATTACTGCGACACATCATCTGTAAAAGAAAAAAAAGTTATTTGTAACTAAGTCAAAGTGAGCTATGACCTACATTTGAAAAACTAAAGTTGGTGCTGATATCTCAAATTCTAGAAGAGTTGCTATAAATTTCATATTTTTTTCGAAATCACTTTGAAAAACTGCCATGAGAATGTGAAATTCCTATTTGAATATTTTCATAAATAAAGAAGTTACGGAGGAGACATGAAAATGATCAAAATCTGTTTTTTGCGTATAAAACAAAAACGAATAGATTTTATCAAACAATTTTTTCACATTATAGTTGACCTTGACAAACTCCACATTTGGTGTCATTTAACCGACCTCGTATCTCTCACCGTTAAAAAGATACCCATGGTGAGCATGGTAAGTGGGACACACTGTATAGATAGTAGCTCAGTAAAACGCTAACGATTAGGACCCAATCCGGGAAAAAATCTAGTAGTCGGTTTCTCTGTGGTTTTATATGTTATTGGAGGTGCTGAATTCGAATCTGAATTTTGCAAACTGAATTTCCTGGAACGTTCCGAGATACATATTAGCAAAAAACAGAAATTTCCGCACTTTTTTTTTTTTGTCGGTAACTCGGAAATCATACATTATATCGAAAAAATCGCCCTATGAAAAGTTGAAGTGGATAAAATTTTCTAGATAAAATTGTTCTTGCTCATGAATGTAGGACTGAATAGTTCGGAGATAGAGCCAGTTGAAAATTGGCCATATTAGGGTACCTTTCAAAAAAATAGCGTTTCTCGTTGGTTTTGGCAGATAATTCATATTTTACGTATTACTCAGAGACAGAGCAACATGCACATATTGAAGAACATCCAATTTCCTATCGAGATCATGTAAATTTCGTCATTATGAACAAAGATGAACGGCTGTTAGAGCGCTCGGACTTGGAGACATCTTTTAGTCGTAGTTGCCACACTCATGTTCATCCTTTCAACTTATATGATTTGGATCATATGAACCTATATTCATTAAAGCTCTAAAACTTATAAATAGGCCATTGTTTTGTTTTTGTATTTTGTGGGGTGGGAGACATGAAAACAATAAAATTCTGTACGCTGGAATTATAGTTGTTATAATTGCGATACAATTATTCCAGATGCTATAGGGTATTCTTTGAACATTTTGATAAAAAACTGATGAACTATTCAAACTATCAAAATCACCTATTTTGTGATGAATAAGTATCAGAATTAATTCTCGCTCATGTGGGTTCCAAGGCGTCAAGGGAATGAGGCAGCTGATCGCCTAGCAAAAAAGTGCAGAGCTCACATTTCACCTTTCCGTGAGGCAAGCAAATATATATTCATATTCATATATATTCATATATTCATAGCTATTGAAGAACATTACATGATGGTATACAATATTATTGTTATTATTACACCGTAAAAATCTGGACGCTTCACCTAAGCACAGAAATGCTTGTGTTGTGCGATTCGTCCATGAGTGTTACGGCGTATATCGGCCAGTTAACATTTCTTCTTAGCGACATATATTAATCGAATAGCTATTATTTATTGTTATGTAGTAATGAATAGTAGATTGGTGATGAATGTATTCTGTAACGATAAAAAAAAATATTTTTTCTGCAACCGACACAAAAGTCGTCCATTTTGATACCAAAATTAGCTCTTAAATTGACGTTTCTACTACTGACACAAAAATAGGTATGTTGCTAGGCAACATATTTAGTTCCTAGGAGCTAAAGTTGAATTTTAGTTCCTAGGAGCTAAAGTTGAACTTTAGCTCCTAGGAACTAAAAAGGATCTACTGGACGTCATCAAGAATAAACAACATTGTGACGGTTGGTTATTTGGGTTGAGAGGCATACCTGATTTGTTTCCGATTTCAGCAGATTTGGCATTTCATACCCATGCTGGAGATATAAATACACCTTATTATAGATTAGTATTGGAATTATAAACATCTCAGTTAAGTATTTTTGTTTTGATCAGGGAAGCCTTCAAGATTCAAATACTTGCTTGATCTGTATTTCATTCGTTATTCTCGGGATGGATAACTTGTTTTTGGATAATCACGGCAAGCAATAGTTTTTTGTCTCAAACAACGATATTGTTAACCTTCATTTGATTATCAAGCGACAAACATTGTATGTTACGGAGAGGAAAACATAATTGCTATTCTTATTGTTGATGTGCTCACTAACCTAACATTTTCCAAGTCTTGTTTCTATAGCTGGCACTGACGCGGTATTTGCCATTAGAGCACCTGGTCCATACACAAATATGTCACTCTGTGATTGTATTTATATTGAAACTACAATTCGAACATCCTTGAAAATTGAATGAACCTGCTGTTGATGCAGGTAGAATGTCCTCACCACACGGATTATTTTTCAATATTTGTTGCATTGCATACATATGGCACGGTATTGGTATGGTAACTTCACATATTTATTTGAGTTATTTGTTTCGGTTGCAGAAAAAATAGCATGTTTCATTCGGATCAAAAGTGACTTTGTTCGACTCGCAAATTTTGCTTTCGCTCGGCTTCGCTAAACGCTCCGCCTCGCAATTGCAAAATTCGCTTGTCAAACAAAGTGTCACTTTTGATCCTCATAAAACAATCTACTATTTTTATAGGAAGTGATGGAAAAGAATAAGAAGTGGTGTTGAAAAGTTCTTGATGTGAGATGCCACCTTATCACAGAGCACAGAAAATGAGAATGAAGTAAAAAATCCTACTACTGTTGAGCAACTCCAGGTAAACGAGAAGGAAAGAGTTCTTCAACAATTCGTAAGCTAGTGAGTCTCAGCAAACAAGAGCTAAAGCACTACCCTCTGAGCTATTACTAAAAACAAATGGGTCAAGAGGAGACTGACACTTAACCGCGGAGCAGCTTTGTTCATGTAATGTACCAGTCCGCCAAAGGCTGACAACCCTAGAACAGGTCTAGATAACGCCTGTTGAGGCAAAATCCAACCGTCAAGAAAATATTAGGGTTATAGAAAGCAATTAATCAGATCAGGGCGATCCTATACTCTAAAATCTGATCGTCACTACATCGTCGTTTGCCAGGGGGCTGGTACCCTGAAGGACGCGGTTCTGGGGATGGTGGTGCAGGTGGAGCAGATCGTGTTTTCTCCAGGGTACCCCCATCCTCTATACGATGGTCTGAAAGAGAAATTGATAGACATTACACATGGCTAGGACTCTTCCACATCAGGCAGTATAGTTCGTTTCTTCGAGGCATGCGTAGATTTGGAATCATCTGATGCGAAAACGGACGAGAAACGCTATTTTTTTGAAAAGGACGCAAGTTTGGTCAATTTTCAACTGGCTCTATCCCCGCACTCGTTAGTTCTACATTTATAAGCAATGACAATTATATTTAGGAAATCTTATATTCTCCAACTTTCTATAGGGCAGTCTTCTCGATGTAACGTATAATTTCCATGTTACGGGCAAACAAACAAAATAACCGAAAATTTTGCTGTTTTCTGCGAATATCTCGGAACGTTCCAGGAAATTTTGTTTGCAAAATTCAGACTCGAATTCAGCACCTCCAAAAACATATGAAACCACAGAGAAACCGATTACTTGAATTTTTTCCAAGTGAAAATACCATTTGATTAGACTATAGGTATCTTCTAAATTTTCCGAAAAGTAATATAAGAATAGTTGACCACTCCTTACTTTTACCTCTGATCGAGCTCGCGTTCTTCCTCTCCTCCCTGTCGCGCTCCTCCTCGGGCTGCAATAGGCCGGTCGGCAGGGCCGGAGGCGGTGTCGTCGAATCAACAGACGACACGCTCTCGGCCCCGCCCCTCACGGCGGCCCCGCCCCCTGCGACGCCCCACCCCTCGCCACTCCCGCCGCCGGCGAACAGGTCGCGGAACGAGTCCATGTCAGCGGTCGGGTCAGATCACTGGTTTGAGCGGCGATTGGAGGGCGGCACATTGCCGAAGGCGTGGCTAGCGGTGGGGGCGTGGCTAGTGTTGTGGGCGTGGCGCAGAGGGAGCTTTGGGAAGTATGCGGGTGTCACTTTTAGCGTATCGCTGTTGCGTTGCGGCACTTTCGGTGAATCAATGTTGCGTTGCGGCACTTTTTGTTTAGTTTTTTCGATTCGGTTGCGTTTGAGATTTGATTGTGATGTTAAGTACACTTGAAGGTTTATGGTTTTTGTTATGTTTACATTTTCACGTCGTATTCCATTATGGGGGATTCTAGCACCTGTAAGAAAAACGCGAAGCAAGAACGAAATTATCTGTAGATTTGAGAGATCATCTGGAAAGCAACCTGTTTTGGAAAGCATTGGACGTGGTATATGGATATTAATTTCGATGATGATTGAATGATTGATACATGGTTTCTATTTGAATTACCGTATTTATCTTATCTTATACAGGCTGTTTCACGGTGGATGGCACATTAGACGTGTTATGTTCAATCGACCTAAAATATTCTCAGCGTTACAACTATGCCGCTTACATTGAAAAGTAGCAACAACTTTGAAATTTTTCAAATGGGACACCCTGTATATAATTCCATTTTCAGATTCTTCCTGGAGAGCTGATTTCTTTGACTTGTAACACTTGGGGTCGGAATAATCGTGAAAATGTGTAAAAAAATAATTTTTTCAACACCTTGTATCATGAAAACGGATGCCGTTACGACATTTTTTCACTGAGCAAACCCAACTTATTTTGCAATGTTCTACCTACCCTAGCTCGTAAGATCAAATTTCACTTCAGAAAAAAATAAATTGAAGAGGAACTTGGCTCCCCACCATTCCTATGACTTTCTGAAAATCCACATTCACACAGAGTTAAAATACGATACCCTGTGCCAGTACGACGTTGCCGACATCATAAATATGTCTAGATTTCCGGAAATTGTTCTTTGAATGCATAATAACTATATCATAACAGCAATGGGATATAATTTAAAGATTAATCGACTTACCTGAAGGACGATCAATCTTAATTATTCGAGTGGAGCCGTTCCATATGATTCACCCTGTAGTAACATCAGTTCTACCTAATTTGGCACAACATAAAAACGTACGGAATTTTTTGCTAGCTGATAACGATACTTGCCCGAATACCTCACTTCATCGTTGGGCATAAATAGCCATCATAGATCGCATTATAGGGTAGGTATATTGGGCGGAAGTGGGTTTGGAATCATATGGAACGGCTCCACTCGAATAATTAAGATTGATCGTCCTTCAGGTAAGTCGATTAATCTTTAAATTATTCTTCGTGTCGCCGTTCCATATGATTCACCCTGTAGATGTTCAAAGCAGAAAAATGCGATCTATCCCAAAACAATATATTCATGGATTGTTAAGTCTCACAATGAGTATAAATAATATGAGAAAACGTAATAACATGTAAATCATGATTATGATTATTAATTAACTAAATTAACATAAAGGAAATAAGTGTATCCGAGAGATAACATTTTTAATAAATTTATCCTCGATAGGTAGGTATGTTTATTAACAAAATATTACCTAGTATTAAGAAATACATAACATGTCCTATACTTAGGTCTGTCGCAAAATAGTTCTTGCGAAGATTTCAGGATCTGCCCTTAAGGGTCTATTATAGAATTTATTGAAGATAGCAGAACCTTGTGTCCAGCCGGCAGTATTTTTAATGGAGTCAATATTAACACCATTTCTTAGTGCGGCTGAAGTTGAGGCATGCCGAGTGCTATGTGCAGAAAAAATATTGGTATCAATTCCGCTTCTTTTCAATGTTAATTTGATCCATCGACTTATTGATTGGGGAGAAGCCTTGTGATGAGGTTTTTTATGGGTCAGGACAAGATATTCTTCTTCAGGGGACCTGAGGGGCTCGGTAATTTTAATATAATGAATAATAACTGATCCAATACAAAGGTTCGGTTTTTCTTTGAAAAAGGGAAAAACCAAGCATGGTTGTAGGTTCTTGGGACCAGAAGTCTTAATTCTATCTGAAATCTTGATTTCTTTGTTGGAATATGTTATTTTTATATTATCTAAACGAATATTTGATAGAGTTTGCACTCTGTGACCCGTAGTTAGGGCCATCAACGTGACTAATTTTAAAGTCAAGTCTTCCAATGACACTTTTTCCAAAGGAAACAACTTTTCTAAATAAACCAGTACTGGATTTGGATCCCATGTAGAAGAATATTTTGGCTGAGAAGGATTCATTTTGAATGCCCCTTTCATGAACCTTCGAATAGTTTTCTCTTCGAGCTCAGAAAACTGAAAAACCAATACTAAAGCTGATCGATGACTATTTAACGTTGAATAAGAAACTCGTAAATCAATAAGTGATCTCAAAAAGTCGATGATATTATTAAAATCGTGAACAAATGGATCTAATTCATGTTGTTGACAGAACAACCACCATTTGTTGAAACATGCATTATACTGTTTCAACGTATTTTCGCTCAATGAGGCTAATAATATTGGAATTGCGGAATCTGGGATATGTTTCTTTCTGAGTGCTGCCCCGACAAAATTCCTGCAACCAGGGTAAGATCCTTGTGGAGCGGATGACTCTTTCTGAAAGGGGATACAAGCAATTCAGGACTAGGATTAAAATACATAGTTTTTGTTGCCATATTATGGAATAGAGGGTACCAGGGCTGCGTTGGCCAAAGCGGCACTATTACTATACCGGTTGCATTATCATTCAAAATTTTTTCTAATACTTTAGCTATAATGGCAAATGGAGGGAATGCATAAAAATAAAAGCATTTCCAAGGTATCGTGAAAGCATCTACATATAGGGAATTAGGGTCTGGATACCATGAAACATAATTTTTACATTTAGTATTCAAGTTAGTTGCGAACAAATCAATATCTGGATTTCCAAATTCCTTACAAATTAACTTGAAAACTTTATCTGATAATTCATATTCGGTTGACACTGACTGAGATCTCGACCCAAGGTCTGCCTCAATATTATCAGAGGAGCTTATATATGAAGCAAATATATTTAATTTTCGCTCTTCGCACCAATTCCAAATTTTCCTTGTTATGCAATTCAAGTTTTCGAATTGAACACTACCCATCTTGTTGATGCACGATATAGCTGTGATATTATCTAGCCTTAATAATATAGAAGTATTTAGATTGTTTTTTGTGAATGTTTTTAGGGCATAAAAGGCTGCTAAAAGCTCTAGATAATTGATATGATGTATTTTCTCTGTATCACTCCAGAACCCATGTGTATTTACGTCACCAGCAAACGCTCCCCAGCCTGTTCTAGAAGCGTCAGAAAAAATTTCCAACTCGAAGGATTTCTGTTTAATATATTGGTAGGATTCCATAATATTTCTCAACCACCATTCGAAGTCTTCTTTCAGAGAGATATCAACAGCTATTGATTTGTTATAATTTTTATTGTTGAGGTGTAGAGCTAAACTTTTTGCTCTTTCAAACTTTTTGGTGTAGAGCCAGCCGTATTGAACTGCTGGACAAGCTGCAACCAGCAGTCCTAGTAAACTTGCAAACTCTCGTATCTTACATACACTTTTACTATACATTTCTTTCAATTTATCAAAAATTTTCAATTTTCTGTCAACAGGCAATGAAATTATCATTGAATCACTCCTAAAATGGAAACCTAAATATATTATTTCACGAGATGGAATCAAGGTACTTTTCTTATAATTAATTCGGAATCCTAAGGATGTTAAAAGAACTATAGTTGTTTTTGTATTGATTTCGCATTGAGATTTTGTGTTACTTATGATCAAAAGATCATCCAAATAAGCTATACATAATATATCCTTGAGCCTCAATGATTTCAAAACAGGTTTTAATAATTTCGTGAAGATATAGGGAGCTATATTAAGACCAAATGGCAAGCAGTTGAATTCGAAAAGATTATTCTCAAATTCAAATCTAAAATATTTCCTATATTTTTCATTCACTGGAACTGAAAAATAAGCATCTTTTAAATCTAAATTAGTAAAGAAACAATTTTGTGTAATTAACTTCTGGACCATTCTTGTATCTTCAAGTTTGAAATGCGGTGGTGTTATGAATTTATTCAAATTCTTTAGATTCAAAATAAAACGAAAATTACCATTTGGTTTTTTAACAAGGAAATATGATGATAAAAATTCACCATTTTTGTGCTGACATGAAGAAATCGCTCCATCATGCAATAAATTAGAAACAGCTTGTCTCATATAATTCAATTCCTTTTCTGAAATGTGTATCTTAGGTGCTCGAAACTGTAATGGTGTTCGTTCGAAAGGTATTTTCATTCCCTGAACCCAACCTAATACAGATTTATCTTGAGTAACTCCTTCCCAATGTGTATAAAACAATTTTAAAGCACCTGCATATACGTTTCGTACCTGAATCAACGACGAGTTTGATATCGAGTCCTCTGGGGGTCCTTCTGGTACCTGTTGTAGCGGTGTGACCTTTCCACTTCTCCCCTCCCTTTTTTCAGTTTTGTCCTGAATTTGGGGCGCTGGTAGTTTAAAGACCCAGGAAGTGTCTGGACGGTGGTCCTTGGAGTTGAAGTCGAAGGTCCCGGCCTAGGCTGCCAAGTTTTATTTGGAGTCTTCATTTCTGATCCCGCTTTCCTGACAGCAATGTTGGTTTTCACTTTTTCGTGGAGATCAGGACCAAATAAAAATTCCCCGATTCCCGCTTCTTCAAAAACTTTTTTGATGTCAGCTTTAACGTGAGGCATAATGACGTAACGTCTATGAGCAGACAGAGTGTTATGAAGATTTGTTAATATTTGAGCTGAATCTGCCATCACGCCAAGGGGTTCTTTGTTCGCTTCTGGATCCTCCAGAAACTGACTCATCAGAGATCCTATTGCAGTTAAACTAGAAGCTAATTCTTCTTGACACCGAGCGAAAAATTTATCTTGTCTTAAA